GTGTCTTCTTTCTCCGCCAGTGACCCAAACGGGGTGTCTGCTCGCACCCTGACACTCTGAACAGGATAACACAGGGGTGTTCTCTGCAGTGAAGACCTCCGGTAGGGATGTTGGGTCCAGAGACTCAGCCTCAGGGGCAAACAGACCCTCCTCCAGCTCCGCCTTCGGGCCAGCTGCTGCTCCAGGTGGCTGGGGGCGGGACCCCTTGGAAATGCCAGCTGCCTTTTTAGGCAAAAGTCTGGCAGAAAATAGATGGTGAGCAGACACGCGCACATTGGGGCTCGCTTTTCACTCCCGTGATCTCAGAGCAGCTTAACCAGGTCACCTTGTCCTCGGGAATGCTGATGTCCGGAGTCCCGGTGTGTGAAGTCAGTCCTGTCTTGGGAAGGGTCGGCGACCTGGGTTTGACGGAGAGAGGTGGGGCCCGGAAGGCTGTCTGTGTGCCTCCCTGCGTCCGTGAACGTCCCACTCTGCCCACACCTGATCGGAGCTGAGACGTGGCTGGCAGAGACACAGACGCGATGGCAGCGGGGTGCTCACGGGGGGGGGGGGCGCGCCGTGGCCCAGCGCTGCCTCTGCCAACACAGAGGACCCCGAACCGCACTGCGACTTACTGGGCGTCAAACGCAAACTGACTCTTCATAGCAGAGAGAGACAGAAGGCAGGAGGGGACCTGGGTCCCCCGGGTCCCCCCGGGAAGAATGTCGGTGCTGTGATGAGCTGCAGAGACACAGACTCTCACCGGCCTCTTTCATGAGATCCCCCATTTTATAAGACGGAGTGACGGCCATGAACACTGGAACCACACCTGTAGCCCTCTGAGGCTCTTTGGGACCTAGGAGTTCAGCGCACCCTCCCCAACCCTCGGCTCACGTCGGCCTCGATGATTTTGCGCTCAGATATGACGAGTCCGTTTGAGCAGGTCCCATGCATGGATTTGGTCTGCAACCGTGCATGCTGAAACCAACTCCCTGAGTCTCACCGATAGTCATGTGACCTCGTTTTAGAACCTCCTGCATCCTGTTACTTTTGCCTGAGTTAATAGAGTTTGTCTCTTCTTGATTACAATTCTTTATAGAACACATCATTTAATTTAATTAATTTTTTTTCTTTATTGATTTGAGAGAGAGGGGGAAAGGGAGAGGGAGAGAGAGATAGAAACATCGATGAGAGAAAACATCGACTGGCCGCCTCCTGCATGCCCCCCACTGGGGATCGGGCCCACAACCTGCCCGGGAATCGGACCGGCGCCCTCTTGGTGCAGGGTCAGCGCTCAGCCACTGAGCCACACTGGACCTAAGAGTTTTCTTACAGCTCTGTTGACATAATGTATGTGGATAATTGTGTCACCTGCAAACAGTGATGACTTTCCTTCATCCTCCCTGGTCTGTATGAGCGTGTTCGCATCTCCTGGCTCGCTGCCTTGGCCGGTCGTCCGGCACAGCGCGGAATAGCCTGGTGAGGCCGGACCCGTGCTGCCGGTCGCCGGGGAGCGGTCAGCACTCGCCAGCCGTGCGGTGGCAGCTGCGGGTGTTTTGCAGCCACTCACCATCAGGTCGTGAGGTCCTTGTTTAACCTGTTACACAGTCATTACATTGATCGGCTTTCAAGCATCGAACCGTCTTTACATCCCTGGAATAAACATCGCCTGGTCCTTTTGACTGACTCTCGTTGCAGACTGCTCGTTTCTCATTTCTCTTATTTTGTTCAGGATTTCTACATCTGTGTTTATTGAGGGTGTCGGTTTACTGGTTTCAGTTTTGCACTGTTTTGTCTGGTTTTAGTATCAGGTGGCTTAGCGCGGTCAGCCACCGCAAAACGCCCCAGGCTGGGGCTTCACGGACAGAAGTGTGCTCTCCCAGGGTGCTGGGCACAGGGAACTGGGCACAGGCGCAGCTCTAGGGGTTCTGGCGGCCCTGCTCCCCGACGCCTGCGTGGCGTGTTTGGGGCCTTTCCTCGGGGCGTGGGTGCCAGACGGAGAGCTCCTCCTCTGTTTGCGAGGCTGCCAGACTTCAGGGATCAGCATCGGCCGTGCTGCCCTTGCTTCAGCCGAGTGACCCTGTGAGGCCCCGGTGCCGGCTGCAGTTTCCTGGACGTTAGGGCTCCACGCGTGAATGTGGGGACAGTTCTGTGGGGGCTCGGGGTAACACTGGTGCCACCAGGGCGTGAGGGCGTGGCCGTGCTCCGCTTCCTGGAGGGGACTGTGAGGTCGCAGCCAGCTAGACAAAGGCCCGGCGTGTTCCCGCACAGAGCAGGAGGACCGCCGGCCCGGCCCACACACTCCGGGAGCGCCGCCCACACAGCCTCCAGCCCGGGGAGCTCTGGAGCAAGGGGGCAGCTCCCCTTGTCTGCTGAGGACCCCTTCCTGCGGCACAGCCGGCCTCGCCTTGCAGTCTCCTCGGGTGACAGAAGGGAGCCCTCTGGGGTCTCCTTTAAGGGGGTCATGACCTAATCAGCTCCCAACACGGAGGTCTAATTATATGAACTTTTAAAAAATAAATCTTCGTTGTTGAAAGTATTGCAGATGCCTCTATATTTCCCCACTGACCCCTCCTCTCTGCTCCCTCCCCTGCTCCCTCGCCACACCCTTGCCTGCGGCCACTGGTTCCTCAGGTGAGTTCTGAGGACAAGTAAACATTCAGACCAGGCAGCAGAGTTCCCCTGCGAAGCCTCCTAGGCCAGGAGATGTCCTCCCAGGCCGCTGGGTAGTTATGGTCGTCCGCCCCTCGATCAGCGCGGTCAGTCCGGTCCAGACTCTGGCGGTGGCACCTGGCGTGGAAGGACCCGGGACGCTGGAATACACAGGCTACAGCCCCCAGGCACAGTAATTTTCACTGTAATGGTAATACAGGGTGTACCATTGACCCCGACAACCAAGCGCGCACACGCTGTAGCATTTTCACTGTCTCGATCGACTTTTTAACGAATATATGTGAAAAAACCACGACAGAGGGACGCAGCAAAAGTCGAAGCACGGGGTGGCCAGGGGCGACTGTATAGGGTTATTTACGTTTTCTATTTCACATTAGAAAAGTTGGGGTAGTGTGTTTGTTTTGTGGGTTTTTTTTTTTTTAGTTTTACTTTTATTAATTTATTTTGGTTACAGATGTTTCTCCTCTTTTCCCGCAGACACCCCCTCCCTCTCCCCGCCCCCAGCATTGTTGTCTGCGTCCACTGGTTACACAGACACGCATGTAGGTTCTTCGGGTTATCTCCCCCTCCCCCACCCCTCCTCTGAGGTTTGTCAGTCGGAACCCTACTCCATTGGGTGTCTCGGGGTCGGTCTAGTTCATCAGCTCACTTTGTTCATGATGTTCCACAGGTAAGTGAGATCGTGTGGTGTGTGTTCTTGAGGAGGGGCCTGTGTCATTTACACTGACAGATCCACGTGGGTAGGTCAGAGGCCACCCTGCGTCCTGGGATGGCTCTGGTCCTATTTCTGTCATATTCCTCCCGGCTCCTTATTTCATCGGTCGAGATGTTTGTTGACTTTCTCAGTCTTCTCCAAAGAATTTGCCTACTTTTGCCTACTTTTGAATAGCTTTCCTCTCCTGTTTCTTTGCTTTGCATTGTTGCTGACGTCTCCGTGTACTCTTGCCTTCCATGTGCTTTGGGTTGATGCATCTTTACCTTTCTAAGTTCTTGAGATGGGAGCGGGATTATTAATACGAATGTTTCCTCTTTTCCGGTGTCTTTTTAGTGCTATTAATTTTTCTCTCAGCCCTGCTTAGCTGAGTCCAAATGTTCAGATCTTGCATTTTCAGTTTTATTTAGTTCAATGAATTTTTTTATTTCCCTGGAGGCTTTTCTCTTTGAAGCGTGGATGATTTAGAAGTGTGCTGTTTAGTGATTGGTGACTCTTCTTTCATTTTTCTCTTCTTATTAGTTCTATTTTGATTCTGCAGCCTACAGAGACTGTAATTAGGTTCAATGCCATAGACTTACGGGCAAGCGAGAATTTCTCCTGTGGGGAATGTGCGTTCGGGTTGACTTCTTCCGGCGTGAGAGGTTTGTGTTCCGACGAAATTAAGTCACACATCTGTAGACAAACTACTTAATTAGCAAACTTTAGGTAACATATAAATTGGTAAATCATCTCTTTGACCTTTTGAAAAGCTGTTAGTGTGTAAAGCGTGATGCGTAGTACTATACTAGTTCACCCATCAGGGTCCTGACTTTCCCAGCATTAAAATGTGTTAATGGACTTAAACTTCAAAAGATTTTTCGTGAAATCCAAATATTTACTATCAATTTATTTGACCTCTACTCAAGGTTGCATTTGATTTTTAGTTATTACACTGTGACTGGCATGTTTTCTTTTTAATTTATTTTCTTTATTGATTTTAGAGAGAGAGAAAGTGAGAGGGAGAGAGAGAAACATCGATGAGAGAGAACATCTACCGGCCGCCTCCTGCACGCCCCCCACTGGGGATCAGGCCCACAACCTGGGCGTGTGCCCCGACCGGAAATCGAACTGGCGACCTCTTGGTGCAGGGTCGACGCTCAACCACTGAGCCACACCGGCCGGGCTAGCATGTTTGATTTTCAAGAGAAATGGTGATTTATTTCAGGGAGATGCCAACAATGAGCACATTAGCTGTGGGCTGAGACAGTCTACCCTCATAAGCCAAGAGGAAGGTGAACTCAAAGCCTCCTGTTCCGGGCAGCGCTGTGAGGGGCATCACCTGTCTCCCGCCCCGGGGGTTCCCATTAGCACAGGGGTGTGTCCTACAGACCCTTCAAGAACGAATATCCTCAAACATTGTTCGGGCGGACACACTGGTGGTGGGCGATGCTAAACCACCCAGCAACGCCCTGGGCACGGCCACGCCCTGGGCACGGCCACGCCCTGGGCACGGCCACGTCCCGGTCCCGTGGGGACCGCAAGTCGCTGGGCCGCCGTGGGAAGCGGACGTGAACGTGCTCCTCAGACGAGCCTCAGCAGCACACTCCCGCGGCCCAACTGTACTCACGTGTGTGTGTTTGTGTTTCCGATTCAGGCTGTCGGGATTTCAGCTGCCCTCGTCCATCGTCAGCACCGGCTCCATCCTGACGCTGTGGTTCACCACCGACTTCGCCGTCAGTGCCCAGGGCTTCAAAGCCCTGTACGAAGGTAGGGCCCGCTGGGCACAGGTGCTCACACGTGCCGCTCTGGTCACAGCGTCGGGTGAAGGGGAGGCAGGCTGTCCAACGGCGCCGGTGGGCAGCCCGTGCCTGCCTTGGCGATCGGGGACGCCGTTCGGCGCCGTGGCCAAACTCCGTAGCACGAAACTTGTGTTCACAATTTTCCTTTATTGAGAGAGCTTTTTTGAAATTGGAAAAGTGATTTTTCTTCTGGCACAGAGCAGAGGAGTTCGGAGGATTGCGAATGCTAATCGCCAGTGCTCCTTAGCACGGACGAGCTCTCTGAAGGGGTGTCGGGTACGAAGGCGGCACTGCATCAGTGACACGAGTCCCTTCAGACGAGTCTTGTGTTCAGAGTCGGAACTGTTCGTGGAGAAGTTATTTTGCTTTTGCTGTTTGGTCCTTGCCTCCGGGTTGCGTGGCGTGTATTTTCATGGTTTCGGTTCCTGTCTTGGTACCTTTGGGCTGGTGCTGGCGGGTGTTGAACTGCTTTTGAGCAAAACTTTTAAAAAGATAAAAGAGAGTTCAACCTCTGATAGAGAAAATAAAACAGATGACACCCAGTCTTACGAAACGGCACTGCTTTGTGGGTAAATGCTGAGCAGGTCTATTTCACCTTGTGACACGTAGATACCGTAGGATTTTTTTCATGGGTAATACGGAGGCTATTATCTTTAGCGGAAATAAACTCCAAGCTCCCGATTGATAAAAGACTGGGGGGGTGATATCCCTGCGGGCAACACACCTGGCCTGGCAGGCCTGCGGCTCAGCCTCATCCGCAGGCTCCAGCTGGGAGCACTCGGTGCTCCGGACAAACGTCATCCTCTGGGAAAACAAGCTCCACATGTGCTCTGTCACCTGAACTTAGCTGGGATGCGGTTACCAGAACGTGTGCGGGCAGACGGTCCTCTCTGCACACGTTTGAACAAACCGAGCGTCCTCTCTTCAGAGGTGCTGTGTCATGGTCCGTAGGAGGGTCGGCGTCCCCGACCTCGCTGTCGTGCTGGCCTCGGGGTTCACGCGCAGACCAGCGTCTGTGGTCTGCAAGGGTCCGTCCACCTGACGTGCAACACTGACGCTCAGGGAGACCTTTCACGTTTGGGGGTAACAGGCCAACGTGAGACTCACAGGGCTGGTCTCTTTCAAATGTTCTCGTACCTACCACCCCCAGGGACCCTGACTTTGCTCAATTTCTTGTTACCCCTAAGAAGCGTTTCTAAGGCAGCGTATCCTGGATACTGTGAGATGTCACAATACCCTGTGTGGTATTTGCTGAGTGGGTGACGAGGCCCCCACCTCGGGAAAGCTGGCAGTGCCCCTCCCTCCCTGACAGAGGGGCTGCTGGGAGATCGGTTTGCTGAATGTCCTACGGTAACGCTTGCGGTAACACTGCTGATGAGTGATTGCCAGATGGACAGTTCTGTTGGCTCTTTCTGGGCTATGTCGGTACTGTTGGTTGTCATGATGGTACGGCATAAAGGGATCGGGGAGATTGTTGGAGAATTATTGATGACTTTCTTAAAAAGTATTAGAAAACAGAAGAGTGAACAGGACTGTGAGTTAAAGATGTTGTTTTTTAAAGAGTTAATCTTGGGAAATGCTTCTGTTTTGAAATTTATATTATAATAGTGACATTAAAATATAGTCTATTTACAAGTCAACACAAGTCTTTGATTTGAAAGGGGGGAAAAACTAATAAAAAAGTGCTTTGAAAACCAAAATTGTATACAGTATTTAATATCAGTATTTTTAACATATTTCTCAATTAGCTTAAAGGTCTCCCGAGAAAGTGAGTTTGTACTATTTGGAGAAGAACCATAATTATAGTCTAAATAGAAGGTCAAACACTAAAGAATGTATTGAGAAGAGAGTAAGTTGCCAGGTGAGCACCAGCAGACTGATACGGAATATCAGTCCCCACAGTGAATTTAGATACAACTATAACATGCCAAGGACATGTCGCTGTAAAGAGTGATATATTATAGAAATGGCATATGTCAAATATGCAAATATTTCTATTTAAGTATAATAAAAATCAGAACCAATGATAGTTGTCAGAAAAACATCTGAAGTTCCTTTGGAACCAGAACCCGCGTCCTATCGATGACTCGATTTCCTTCTTTCCTGTCAGGTTTTACTTGGATGGGATGGTCCATCGATTAATCTAAGCCAACTAGCAGAACAACTGCTGATGCCTGTCCGAGACGTCTGAAGGAAACGTGGTTTCTATAGGAAGCACTGAATCAGCTTTCTAAAACTACGACTTACTCTCCTCCTCAATCTGGTTTATTTTCTTCCCATTAAAATCCGAATGTGTTTAATATGATCAGATCGATACTTCATTTTTGCATTTAAGTTGATGTGCTCGAATTGGAGAAAATCTTTCAAACTTAATCTGGGCACTGAACTTTTTAGATTTCCGGTAGTCCCTAGGAATAATTAATGTTTACAGAATTAGTATTCATGCAGGGGATTGTTAATCAACATAACAAGTGTGGAAACAGTAAATTAAAACATTCTAATTAATGTGTTCAGTCATTGAATTTAACCCTGAAAATCAAAAGAGAATATTTATAAATTTCACACTAACTTGCTAAATGTGAAGCTGTTTAGGGTCTTAGTAAGTTTATAGATTGTCAGTGAAATCAACATATTTTAACCCATAGGTGCAGAATAATGGCATTAAAGTTGCTAACTTAATAGGGTGTTTTATTGTTGGTTATATGCTAGTTTCATCACTAAATGTGACTCTTGATGGCAAACCAAATAGCTTACATATTTTTCTTTGGTAAATGTATGATCGGAAATAATGGGATGGCACATCATTTGCAATAAGATGGGGTGCTATCAGAATCCCTGTGTGGGTCCAATACAAGTCGCCCCTCATTTACTGCAGTTAGTCAGCTCCAGACTCTACTGTGGAAAATGAATTTCCGAGAAGTAGGATTCTTTATTTATACACAGTTGTCCCCGCGACTGTGCACTTCGACGTTCGCAGCTTCTCTCTGTCCCGCGATACTATATACAATAAAGAACCGCACCCGTCGAAGCGCAGTGGCGGGGACGGCTGTACTGAATGAGGTGAGAGGTGTGTAGGTGGCATCGTTGTCTGTGTTTCTGTCTGTTCACCTTCCCTCATCAAGATCTCAGTTACTAAAAACATACATTTATTTCTGTTTATCAGGCTTCTGATATTTAAAAAAGTCACGTAGGTCATGAATTTGGCGTGACACGTAGACACTTGAAACTTATTGTCATGGGGAACAGTAACAGGCATGACCATCACTGCCCCCGAGGAGGAGGGCAGGTCCGCGTGGTGACACGTGTTCACCTGGGGAGTGTGCCCCAAACACCTGTCACTGTTGTCGCCAGTGCTTCCCTTAAGGGAAGATGGCTCCGCTCCCTGCTCAGTTTTCCTATAATTGACACGGTGAACTAACCGTCAGAAATGCCAGTGGACCCGCGACACCCGCCCCCCGGCTTCACATTGCAGTGACTTCGCTTCCGCACCTGGGTTACTCTCCGGCGACATCACTTCCGTTCCCTCGCGTCTTTCGTTTTGTCCTGAATATTGTTTCAAGTGTTTCCTGATCTCGTTGGTAACTTTTTGTATACATTGACCTTTAAGAATTTAAGACTCAGTTATGTTTTTAAAATTTAGGTTGACTTTTTAGATAATCTTCAGGTGAAGTGGGTTGGCTTTAACACTGATAATAGAATTTTTATGTTTGATGCAACTCAAATCTAGCCGGGGAGGCCGCCGTGAACTCACTGAGCCGAGGTTCCCGTATGGGACAGTCCGCGGAGTGCGGAGCGGCCACGAGAGGCGCTGGGACTTCTGGAGCAATTGCAGAGGTTTTGTTCAGAGTGGCAGGTGTGATAAAGCAGTTGGAATAAAAACAGGATGCATACTTTGACATAGATATTCACTTTTGCAGTAATCCTTTGGCAAGGCAGAAGGGAGGTTAAGCTAAATTCTTGTTTAAGACAAAGCTGATAAAGGAATCTAGTCTCTTTAAAAATGTGGCCTGACGTTGTATTTAGAGATGGAAAAAACTTTTAACCACAAGTCTAGACAGTCAAATATTTTGATAAAAAATATATACTAATTTTGCACCGTCAATATTTATCTTGGCTTCCCAAGGTGCCATCATTGAATATATCGGCCTTACATTCTATGCATAAAATCTATAAGAGTCTGAGAGCTTGGAGATCTATTTTAATAAAAAAAATACTGGAGGCATAGTGAGGGGGATTCGACCTTACTCAGTAGTAAAAATGTGCTTGTTTCATAAACTTGTGTTTCATACAAAACAGCTCATTAGTTAGAGTGAGAAGAATAATTGCCTGTGACGCAGGCTGAGGAGACTCCCCTGGGCTACAAGTTGCTCTCCAAAATATCTCTTGCAAGTGTCTTTTTTTAGATCCAAAGTGTTTCTCTGACAGATACAAATATAGATAGATATGTAGAGAGGTAGGTAAGTAGAGAAAGAGAGTAAGAGAGAGAGAGAGAGAGAGAGAGAAAGAGAGAGAGAGATATGACTAGAATGGTATAAACTCTTATACACATTTTGTTATTAAATCCTCACAAGATTTCTGAGAATGAAGTAAAATCACCTCATATGATCAGATAGAGAAAATGAGGATTTATACGGTAATTTAATCTGCCAGGAGCTCACAGCTGATCAATCCTGAAAGCAGAGATGACACACACGTCTATCTTTTTTCAAGAAGTTGTCATTCTTAGCCAATGACTATATATCTTCTTCTATATGTAAGTGTATTTGTGTCTACACCGATACGCAAATACACACATAAATGCATATGTGCATGGGTGTATACTCACAGGTAATTGCATCTACATACAAATGTGTACACACCAGCGTGTGTGGTTGTGTAAGTGAGCACACAGCCCTCGCCCCTCGTTCTTTCTCACTGATGTGCTGAGCTTCTGCTGAGCACCTGCCGGAGGCCTGACACTGAGCAAAG